GGGGGGGTGTATAGAAGCATGTGGATGTGTATGTGGGAGTGAGTGTGTAGATGTGTGGTGTGTATGGAAGCATGTGTAGGTGTGTGTGTGAGACTGTGTACATGTGTTAGTTTGTATGTGTTGTGTATGGATGTGTGTATGTGTGTGTGTGGGAATGTCTGGATGTGTTAGTGTGTATGTGTGGTGTGTATAGGGTGTGTGTATGGAAGCATGTGGGTATGTATGTGGGAGTGTGTGTGGATGTGTTAGTACATATGTGTGGGTATGTATGTGGGAGTGTGTGGATGTGTTTGTATGTGTGGGTGTGTATGTGTGAGTGTGCATGTGTGTGTGCATGTGTGTACGGGTATAAGTATGTGCACATCTGCGTCCCCCAAATCTGAACTCTGACCCCCATGTGATGGTGTCTGGGGGTGGGGGCCTTTGGGAGGACATTAGGGTTAGGTGGTGCCATCTGAGCTGGGCCCTGGCCAGGGGACTGGTGCCTTGGTGGGGAGAAACCTGGCTTCCTGTCTCCACTGGGTGAGGAGACAGGGAGAAGGCGCCTGGGAGCAGGGATCCTACAGGAGCCTACAGGAGCCAGCACTGACTCTGCCTGGGGTTGGGGGGAGGTGGGTGGCCAGGCGCTGTGGGATCCTTTAGAAGCTGCGCGCTTTCCAGAAATGAAACGCATTCAGCCTCCCCATCAGAGTTTGCCAGGAGGGCTGGAGAAGTGTGAGGTGGAAACAGCGCCCCATGCTGTCCCTGCTGACTGGAGTGGCCAACTGGAGACTGCTGCGGGGCGGGCTGCAGGCAGCTGCTGCAGGGATGCTGGACACTGCCAGGCACTGGGCACCACTGTGCTGGTGTAGAGGCACTGGGCACTGCCGGGCACCGTAGTTGGCTCCGCTGTGTGATGCTAGGCGGAGAGACGGGGGGGCAGCGCCCAGCACTGTAGTTGGCTGGACTGTGTGATACTGGTCGGGGAGACTGGGGCAGCGCCCGGCACTGTAGTTGGCTCGGCTGTGTGATGCTGATCAGGGAGACGGGGGCAGCACCCGGCACTGTAGTTGGCTCGGCTGTGTGATGCTGGGTGGAGAGACTGGGGCAGCGCCCGGCACTGTAGTTGGCTGGACTGTGTGATGCTGGGTGGAGAGATGGGGGCAGCGCCCAGCACTGTAGTTGGCTTGGCTGTGTGATGCTGGTCAGGGAGACAGGGGCAGCGCCCAGCACTGTAGTTGGCTTGGCTGTGTGATGCTGGTCAGGGAGACGGGGGCAGCGCCCAGCACTGTAGTTGGCTCAGCTGTGTGATGCTGGTTGGGGAGAGACGGGGGCGGCGCCCAGCATTGTAGTTGGCTCAGCTATGTGATGCTGGTTGGGGAGCCTGGGGCAGTGCCCGGCACTGTAGTTGGCTGGGCTGTGTGATGCTGGTCGGGGAGACTGGGGCAGTGCCCCTCTCCCTCTCAAGGTGATGACTCAGGAGGGGGCTGCCTCGTTCCTTGACCACTCAGCTCCAGTGGCCACTGTTAAATATTCGTTATTTACTGCATACTTTGAACTAGATTAAAAGAAAGCAATGATGAAAAGCAAATGCCTTTGCCTTGCTGAGGCATTTTAAAATCCAAAAGCTCAAGCAAGGCAAACTTTGGGATGGAAAGTAATAATAAACCGAAGCCAAGCCCAATCTTCAATTAAAAGTTTTTAATTTTTCAAGCCATTCTGCCTCCTCATTCTTTTTTGGTGGTATTGTCATCTCCAAACAAAGTTAACCTGTCAAGCATGTTAAGAACAGGAGGTGTTTCTGCTTCAGACCACAGAAAGCCTGGAGAAAATCCTGGACAAGCTTAATCACTTCAGTTCCTTAGGGGGGTAGGAGTGTGTGTGCACATATGTACCCACAGACAGGCACACACACCCCTGCCCTGACTCACTCCATTAGGAATTTAAGGCAAATTGACCAAAGTTTGCATAACTGAGGCAGGGCAGCCTGGCCAGGGTAAGATCCATAGTGTGTTCATGAGCCTCAAATGCTCCTGACTCGGGGACACTCTGGTCTTTTAAACTGCCTGGAGCTCACAGAACAAGGGTGTCACGATGGCCATGGCTTGCAAAGACATGGCGGGCAGCCGTGGTCTACCTCAGCCCCACCGGCCTGACACCACAAACACCCCAAGGTGAGGTGGTGAGTAGTGGTGGTCTCCCCCAGCCCCACCAGCCTGATGCCACCCACATCCCCAGATGAGGGCTCCCTGAGGACCTGCCCTACAGGGCAGCTATGCTCAGAGGATTGACTGGCTCTGCTTCTCACCAGGGAGGAGAAACAAATCCAGGCTGGATGTTTTCCCTCCAGGGCTTGTGCAGGGAGGAGAGTCCTGGACAAACCGAGCTGTGAAACTTCACAACCAGCCTTGAGTCAGTCTGAGCAGGTCCCGTATTTTTGTCCCTTTGCATCATGAGATGCGTAAAGACAGCCTTAGACACTTGGAGACAGGCATTTGGCAAGGAAGAAACACAGGCCCGTGAGGCTGTGCTGGCTGCACCCAGAGTGTGCGAGTGGCAGGGTGGGGGGGTGCGG